TTTTTGTGAAGCCACCGTATGATCACCACAAAGAGGCTTGCTAGGCACTCTATGTGTGAAGATGGAGGCTAGGTGAAAGTTTTTGAAAAAGTGAAGCTCTCAATGTGAAAGCTTCACAAGTGGCGCAGGAGAGAGGAGAGAATAGGCTAGGTTTTCAGAAAAACCCTTGGAGGAACAACTGAACCCTTAGGCACATAAGAGGAGAGTATTTAAAATAAAATACCAATAAGATTTTTCTCCTAAAAATCTGATCATTAGGCGCCAGATAGGAGTGAGAGAAGTGGAGCTGTTTTATTTCAAAAATTGCTAACAGGCTCCTAGAATATTCTCTTGAGAATTGGTTCAAAACCTATTGAAAATTCTGATCAGAAATCTTCATAAGATCAGCTATATGGTGCGCCCCATATAGCCCAAAAAGGTGACCAGATACATCTGTGTAGTTGCATTTAAATTTGAATCAACTCATTCAGATTTTCTCCCAACTAACTGAATCTTCTGGAGCTGATTTTGATGAGCAAATCTTGCTCACCAACAACCCAAATCAGCCCCATATATGGCCTTGGATCTTGTCCAAAAGATTCTCTCATGATACTAGTGATTTGTTCCAACAAGATCTCATCTTATCATTTTGTTATGAAACAACCTTTCATAGGCAATTCAAATTCAAATTCAAATATTTGAATTCAAACATTCAAATATTCAAATTCAAATGTTCAAACATTCAAATTCAAAATTCAAATTTTCAAATTTCAAAATTCAAATTTCAAAATTCGAATTCAAAATCCAAATTTCAAAATTCAAATTTCAAATTTCCAATTCAAAATTCGAATTTCGAAATTCAAATTCAAAATTCAAAATTTCAAAATTCAAATTTCGAATTCAAAATTTAAATGTTTGATAATTAATTTAACTAATTAAATTAATTAGTAATGTCTTGGACTATCCAAGCCCATTACAATGAACCATGCGCCCTCCACCCCTTTAGGTGGAGTTCCAAACAACTTCTTGGGCTAATAACTATTATTAGGCCCAATACCTTTAATGCTAGAGCATTTAGACAATTAGGTGTTTGTGTGTGACCCATTAGGTCTAACTTAGCCACTGACATAAATGGGCTTGGGCCCAATAAGCCCACAACCCATCTAATGACAACACAGAGCACTAGCAATGCTTTGTTGCCCCAGAACTAGTTAGATTAATGATTTGATCATCCTATTAAACATATTTGGTTGCCGTACATATTTCCTTTCGTCTCGGTTACCTTCCCATAAAACCTAGGGTAAGGAAGCGTATCAACCCCTGCGGTTTAGGGTAAACTTTATTCGAAATTAGGGAATCTTCAATTTACAGACTCTAAAGGCAGATCATCTCATAATTTCTTTTACTATGCATAGATTCCCGAGTCCCTGTAAATGTCATCCCGATTTCTCTGGTTTACAGATAACCTAATCTCTCACAGAGATTTGACGAATTCCTTCAGCTTATCACCCTAGCCCTGTGTTCTTTCAGGACAAGCCCAACAGTATACCTATGAGTCTCCATGTTTCAGGCAGACGAGGTGCACAATCAAAGCATGCCTTCTAGAACACAATCTAGGTAATAACTTCTGGTCTTAGGAAAGACATACCCAAATATAAAGAGACTACTCTAATGATACTCTCTGTGAGAGTTCCTCATAGAGTCTCTTTGTGGGTCCGTTCAGTGCGAGCTATACCCTTATAGGTCCACCCACGACTTTAGCTAAGACATCTCCATTTCTGTAGCACATGAGGTCTATACCTTGTATCCATATACAAATAGATAAATCGTGCTAGTCTTACCCGAGATTACTGACCCCATTCTCAGTATCTCTAGACTAGGAACATAAAATTAGGAATGAACATCCGGTATTCTTGAATCCTCATGATTGTGATCTCATTACAGATACTCAAGAGATACCTATTTTATTCCACGAGGTTTATCAAGTTATTCATGATATATTAATATTAATATCGAGACATAATTATGAAACAAGATAAAGAGTGCTTTTATTTATTTGTGACAATATTAAAAAGGTCTACATCTCTGTCCTTATTTAATCATAAGATTGTCTCTAGGACACCCAACTACTAACAGAAATAACTGTTGTTGGGACTATGGCATGCCAACTAGTGAGACAGGAGAAAAGTTCATTGTCTTTTATAAGTATGATTGAGAATGCTTCATTTGTATGGGCATTTCTCAAAGGAAGAAAGCTCCCTGGTGTTATGGCTATCGACAAAGTATGTTTTAATAAACTCTTTCTTTCTATCACTCTTCAACTTCATATTTCAGGAGAATAATGCAGTATATTCTGAAAAACATTTTATTTTGCATAAACTATCTTGTATGCCTCTTATGCTTGATTGTATGGCTTTTGCCACTGGAATTTCTGGAAATAGACTCACTTTCTTGAGATTATATTCACCATCCGATGTGAGTTTTTTATGATAAAATAACATGGTCATCAAGTCCTTTATTTTAGATGCTAGGAATTGGATCAAACCAAAATATGTAAATGATGTTCCTTAAAAGCAAAAAAGTTTTTTCTGTTTAACAAATTTTTTCTAAATTGGAAAGAATTTGGTGCACAAAATATTTTGACATGCATATTAAGTGATGAATGAAGCTGTAAAAACATGATCTTTTTCCATAGTATGTATAGCAATTCTTCTGGTTGATAAATGTAATTGACATTAAGGCATATGAGGAGCACAATATTAGTAATGTTGCATGAAAATAGTGTAATAATTAAAGTAATACCTGGATCAAGGGTAATTAAGTTAAGTCTCAATTTTCTAAAATAACATCAAATCAAGTACTTGTGTAAGCTAATGTATCTATTAATGCTGACGAACGAATTTGCCGGAACTTTTTTCACTTGGAACTTGGAAGAGCTGAGATCTTGTTTCATTTGTACATCATAATTCATACATGACAACACAGACTGAATAAAATAAGAGAATTAATACAGCAAACTAAATTATAAGCAATTTTTTGTTCGATGGTAAACAGCTAATGTTAGCATTTCATTTAATCATGCTGAGAAATCTGATCTTGTGTTAAGCAACTCAAAAGTGCTAAAACATTCTGCATCAATGATATTATTGTCACTTACGGTAGTTATATTTTGCAGGCATACCCTTTTGAAATCAACTGGAACAACATTTATTCTGACCCAGCTCAACCTCTGGTTGTTGATATAGGAAGTGGTACTTTTTGTTTTTTACATAGTGTCTACTGTGCGCATATCTTGTAAAACTGTGAAACTAGAAGCATATGATCTGCAAGTTATCAAGCAATATAAAATATATAAGCAGTTGATTTGAACATATTGTCATTGCATACATATTCTTTTAACCATAACATTGTTGTAAAAAAGACCCCGAGTTCTGTAATAGAAGATGATGGAGTGATGGACTAGAAGACATCAAAATAAATAGAACTTGTGGTATTGATTCTTTTTGACATATTAGCTCTAAATGACAGGCAATGGGCTTTTTCTTCTGGAAATGGCTAGAAGGAGGAAAGATTTAAACTTCCTTGTATCCTTCTCATTTTTACTACGTACCATGGTTCTTTATTTTTTTAACTATTGTTAATTACCAAGAGACAAGAGGTATTCATTGTAATCCATGTGTCAACTACACGAATGAGACTTCTTTTATATATTAAACTAAATAACAAATACACACACACATACACAGTGTGGGACTTCTATACTATGTACAACAACATTCCCCCTCAAGCTGGAGCATATAGATCGTATGCACCAAGCTTGTTACATATCTGGTCTATCCTAGGTCCTCTCAAAGACTTAGTAAATATATTAGCTAATTGATCATTTGAGTTTACAAAACGAGTGACTATATCTCCTGAGAGAACCTGTTCCCTAAGGAAATGATAATATATCTCAATATGCTTAGTCCTTTCATGAAACACTGGATTTGAAGCAATATGCAAAGCAGCTTGATTATCACAAATGAGAGATGTTGGGCCAGTGTCTCCAAACTTGAGTTCCTTCAGTAGCTGTTTCAGATGAGTTCACAGGTAGCTGTATGGAGCGATATTTTGCTTCAGCACTTGATCTAGCAACTACACTTTGCTTCTTACTTCTCCAGGAAATCAAGTTATCTCCAACGAATACACAATACCCAGAAGTGGATCTTCTATCAATAGGAGAACCTGCCCAATCAGCATCTGAGTATCCTACAACTCTGGTATGACCTTTGTTTTCATAGAGAAGACCTTTGCCAGGAGCAGTCTTGATGTACTTGAGGATACGGATTACTGTATTCCAGTGATCTTCACAGGGAGAATTCAAGAACTGACTTACTACACTGGCTGCAAAGGAAATGTCTGGTCGAGTAACTGTGAGATAGTTCAGTTTCCCAACCAATCTTCTATACCTTTCTGGATCAGAAAATAGCTCCCCCTGATTTGATAAAAGTTTGACATTTGGATCCATAGGAGTATCGACGGGCTTAGCATTCAACTATGTTGTTTCCTCAAGAATATCCATAGCATATTTTCTTTGTGATAGTACAATGCCATCTTTGGATTGGGCCACTTCTATCCCTAAGAAATATCGGAGTCTTCCAAGGTCCTTTGTTTGAAAATGATGGCACAAATGTTGTTTTATCTGAGTTATGCCATGAGTATCATTACCTGTAATGACGATATCATCAACATATACTACCAAATAAATAGAACCTGAATCAGAGTGTCTGTAAAAGACTGAGTGATCAGCCTCACTTCAAGTCATGCCAAACTGCTGTACAACAGTGTTAAACCGTCCAAACCAAGCCCGGGGAGGCTGCTTGAGACCATACAAGGATTTTCGGAGACGACAAACTAGGTTAGACTCCCCCTGAGCAACAAACCCAGAAGGTTGCTCCATATAAACCTCTTCCCGCAGATCACCATGGAGGAAAGCATTCTTTATATCTAGCTGATACATAGGCTAGTGATGAATGGCTGCCATAGTAATAAAAAGGCGAACATAAGTCATTTTCGCCACGGGAGAAAATGTGTCACCATAGTCAAGGTCAAATATCTGAGTATAACCTTTAGCCACCAAGTGGGCCTTAAGACGGTCCACCTGACCATCCAGACCAACTTTAACCGTGTATATCCATCGACATCCAACAACAGATTTCCCAGAGGGAAGGGGAACCAGATCCCAGGTACCACTGCTCTGAAGTGCACTCATCTCATCAATCATGGCCTGTCGCCAACCAGAATGTGATAACGCCTCACCTGTAGTCTAAGGAACAGATACAGAAGAAAGAGAAGAGAGGCAAGCAAAATGGGATGGTGAAAGACGATGATAACTCAAATTTATTAAATACCTGGGAGGGGGACGAGAATCACGAGTACCTTTCCGAAGTGCAATGGGCACATCAATGTCAGACGAAAGGATCAGAGCTGCCGGAGGAGATGATGACGGAAGTGAGTCCACAGGAGCCTCAGTAACAATAGGGGCAGACTCGGGGGGGGGGGGGGGGGGGGGCAGGGTTCTGGGGAACAGGGGGACGTTGCCGACGATGATAGACCTGGAGGGGGGAACGTGGGCGGGAACAGGGACGGGGACATCTAAAGAAGGAGATGGTGAAGGTATATAGTGAACTGAAATAGGTGGTAAAGGTAGCTGAGTAGCAACAGAATCACTGGGATGGGAGAAGGAGTCAAAGAAAGGAATAAACTCAAAGAATGTAACATCTGCCGAGACAAAGTAACGACGAAGACTGGGAGAGTAACAACGATAACCCTTTTGTGAGCGAGGGTAACCCAGGAAAATACATTTATGTGACTTAGCAGATAACTTGTCAAGACCAGGACTGAGATTGTGGACAAAACAAGTAGAACCAAAGATGTGAGGAGTGAATGGGTACAAAGGTTGATGGGGAAACAACACAGAATGTGGTACCTGGTTATTAAGTACGGAGGAAGGCATGCGATTAATGAGATAACAAGCTGTGAGGACAGCAACGCCCCAATACTGGAAGGGGATATGACCATGTAACAAGTCCGAGTGGTCTCAATTAGGTGACGGTTCGTGTGTTCAGCAATCCCATTTTGTTGAGGGGTGTGTGAACATGATGTCTAGTGAAGGATGCCGTGAGATGCAAAGAAGGTTTGAAACTGATGAGACAAATACTCACGAGCATTATCACTACGAAAAATGCGAATCGAAACACCAAATTGAGTAAGGATTTCATTAAAGAACTTGTTGAAAATAGAAAACAATTCAGACCGATTTTTCATTAATAATAACCAATTACATCGAGAATAATCATCAATGAAAGTTACAAAATATCTGTACCCCATAGTGGAAATGGTACGACTAGGAACCCAAATATCTGAGTGAACTAAAGCAAAAGGAGACGAAGACCGACGACTGACACGATCGGGAAACGAACTACGAGTGTGTTTCCCTAACTGACACGACTCACAAGACAAACTAGATAAATTTGAGAAACGTGGGACCATCTTCTGGAGCTTAGCAAGACTTGGATGACCCAACTGAGCGTGGATAGTAAGCGGAGAATCCACAACAGAGCACACTGGAAAAGAAGTTGAAAGCTGATAAAGGCCATTGGACTCAGATCCGACGCCAAGTGTCCTCCTCGAGCTACGATCTTGCAAAATGACAGACTCTTTAGTGAAAGAAATAATACAGTCAAGGGATTGAGTCAAGCGACTAATGGAAATAAGATTGAAAGGAGAATGAGGAACATAAAGCACATTCTCAATGGAAATAGAAGGAAAAATGAGAACAATGCCAATCCCTTGGGACTGAACCAGTGACCCATTAGCCATAGTGATACTGGGCAGGGGACCAGACGTACAGAGAGAGGTAAATAAAGACTTATTACCAGAAATATGGTCAGATGCACCAGAATCGAGAATCCATGGACCAAGAGAGGGCGAGTGAGAAACACCAGCAAAGGAATTACCCGTGTGTGCACCAGAGGCAGTGGTACCAGGAGGACGCTTCCCTTCATACCATTGCAAGAAGTCAGTGAGAACAGACGGAGGAGGCTTGATCCAGCAATCAAAGCAGAGTCCGAGGCAGGAATAGTAGTCTGAGCAAAATGAGCAGAGCGAGGAGGGCGACCGTGAAGATCCCAGCAACGATCATTAGTATGGCCCGGCTTGTTGCAATGAGTGCAGAGAAAGCGTCTCGTAGAAGGTTTGCGTCCACGTTCAAAACCCTTGGAGACAAGAGCAGATGGGTCAATTGAAGAGGGTGCAGATACTGCAGGCTCCATAGCAGTCTTAGGTGGAATGCGAAGCAACGTAGACCAAACAGAGTCCAGTGATGGAACAGTAGTAGGGCCCAAGATCTGATCCCGGTTGACAGAGTATTCCGAGGGCAAACCATAAAGAGCCATGAGCATGAAGAACGTGTTGCGTTGCTCAAGTTCTTTAGCAGTGTAACAGCCCGTTGTACACCGGTATTGTTAACATTAATTATGATATTAAGCGCAGTTACAATCACAGCAGTTCATTTATAAAAATGCGAATAAACTTATTCCGATTATTACGCGAGCATTTAAAACATAAAAAGGCGTAATAATTAAAAGTTGTGACCGTAACCGTAAACTCTTGCGAAAGACTTATTTAAACTATTTTTATAACTCACATTACTTATTATAAGTTACTAAGGAGTTCCCATAAACTCACTTAGCCAATTCCCAAACTTTACGTTTTTACCAATTCGGACATGTTTCACTCTAAATTTTTCTACGACCAAACCGTACACAAAAAAACTCTCAACTCAGATTATATCTTTGTCTCACTTAATTCCCCTTTCAACAAGCTATCATATGCTCAATTCGGAGCTCATTAGCTCCGGTTATCGCCGTTTGAAGTTGGATCAGCAATTAGCCAAACAACCCCAAAAACAGCTCCAAACCACTCACCTTACACGAATTACTGCACTCAATCCATTCAACCATTTGCTCTCAAATTTTTATCCTACAAACGAGACATCTCAAACTTCATTTTGATATATCATACACTTAATTTGACTGAGAAACGAAGCGGGAATTAATTTCCCAAATCCGGTCCAGAATCTGTCTCAGGTGCAGGGGCACATGAACAGTCCGTGTTTCTCTATTTTTTTCAGGCCTAAGATCAACCCAGAATTTCCTAAACTTTTGACACAAGGTATAGTACATCTCAACCTTCAAAATGGAGTATGGCACATCCCTATTGGACCTCTATGGAAGGAGATATGCTCTCCCTAAGTTCACCTAAAATCTGCCAATTCTACAGAAAATTCGCCAGAGTTTCCTTTGTTTTTCCAATAATCCCAAATTTGTAAAAATCATTTAAACCTCAAATGTACCTAATAATCACATGATAATACAGTAATAATCCAATGGGTGGCACACACAAGGACCAACAACGCCTTGGGGCACTTACAACCCAATCCAGTTTATAGTCATTAGGCATATAGTTCATATTAATCATCCTTAAGTAGTTGCAATCACTAACACCTTTTTCATTCATATTTGCATCATACATGTAATCATAC